AGAAACTGCCTAACGACGCATTTCTCAGGATGTTCCCCAGTTGTTAAGTGATACGTGACTGTAGCATCTAGGGAACTATTTGTGGCTATTTTAAACATTACTTAGGAACTATTTACGATCTCTCATCTCAGCCTCTGAAATCAAATGTCAAGACAGAGCTCGTGCAGTATTGGGAAGTCACCCTCCAGGAGCTGGTCCCAGGCCCAGGATGTGAGTGCTTCTGGGAGGCTGTGGGTTAGGGGGAAGCCTGGGCATGGCTTTGTTTAACTCTACAATCTTAACTGACCCTCAGCTGTTACTGCTCAAAACTGGCTTCCTTCAATTGCATACTACCTTACTTTCCATCCCAACTGGGTCTGTAGCACCTTGCGCTCTGATTGTTTGAGGGTGGATTGTATAGTAACAGTAGCCACCTGTTTATGGGTGGCTTAATTAAAACTTTGCTTAATTGAATTTGATTAAAAACTGAACCTGGGGTTTTCAGTGAGATGCTATACTTAGAGAACATAGTGCCTCACACATTGTAAGCACTTGGTAAATTTTAGTTGTCACAGTTGCTAGAATTCCTTCAAGAAGTCACTTCTCACGAGTGAGGGGCATAGGAGAGCTCCCCAGGCAGAGGGAATCGGATATACTAAAGTCCTGATTACCCAGAAAGCCTGTGGCCCTCCAGGGTCGCAGACAGGCAGTAAGGAGCAGTGAAGCCGGGTGTGGAGTGCGCTGGTGGGCCAGGCTGCTTCACTCGGAGAAATGTGGGCTTCACAGTAAGAGTAACTGGAAGCCGAAAGGGTCTCAGACTGAGAGCATTCAGATGTGCATTGCTAAAAACTATCCCAACAGTCTCATGGACAGTGGATGTAGGGAGGTTCATTATAAGGTCTGGCCATAGAGTAAATAAGTAACCTTGGGCAGGCTGCTTCAACTGTCTTGATTTCCTCCTCTTTAACCCAGATTCAGTAACTACCTACCCATAGGCTGTGAGGATTAAATGAGTTGCTATTTGTAATCTGCTTAGAACAGCCCCTGGTGTGTAGTAAGTGCTTTAAATGTGTGTTAAATAGAATGCAGAAGTCTGGTTTCTGAGTAGAAGGTTGCATTCTTCGGACACTGCCCTCCCCTCACCTAGCATCAGACTGACCTGCTCCGTGAAAACCCAGACTGCTGCCAACTTGGAGACCACCTGGTTTCCAAACCAAGTCCTCCTGCTCTGCCTGGGTCTGACTCGGACACCTCCGTGTGGATTGGACATATGGCTGGCCAGACCTGGCCGGGCTTTCCCTTTTCCCAGAACACCTGCCCTGCACCCCGCCGGGGGTTCAGGCTCCACACTGGCTTGCTGAGAGCACCAAGCGCTCTCCCTGCTGTGCAGGCCCCACCTTCTCCCTTCAGAAGTTCAGTGGAGTCCAGCAGTAAGTGCAGCTGGTGGTAAGCACCATCGCCCTTCCACAGATGGCACGCTGGCTTGTACCTGAGCTCCCTGACTCTGCCCAGCCACAGCCGCTCCCTCCCTCCCTCTCTCTCTCTCTCTCTCCCCCAGGTTGCCCTTGGTGTTGAAAAAGACCACCACCAACATGGAGACGAACTCTCTTGGGGCTATGGTCAGCTTCTGTTTGCTTTCTGTATTTGGGGCAGATTTGAACTGAAAGAGGGAAAAACAATAACAAGCAAGTGGCTCCATCCTTCTCTCTACCTTAGAAAAGGTTCACTCTAACCCTGTAAGGTTCCTGTTTTTCCCCCTTCCCAGTGGACTCATTGTTTTGTAAATCATGTAGTACACACTGCTGGGGGGTTTGTTGTTGTTTTTATTAATCATGAATGTCATCTACTGAGTAGTAATGTTTTAAAGCTACTTTGTTAACTTGCAATTCTAATTTGAAAACTGTAGATAGGATATAATGTAGGAATGGCAGGTTTCCACTTAACATGGCTTAGGAGTGTTGCCTGGATTCTCTTTTAATGATACGGAGGCAGGTCTGAGCTCACAGGGAGAAAGTACATGATCCTCACAAAAGGCTGCATCCCAGATTCAGGGTAGTTTCCCCCAGGGGTAGAGACTGCTGTTGAATCATGGTGACGAAGGGCAGAGGGCATAGAAGGCTTCTGTATTTCTAATGCTTTACTGATGAAGCTTGAAGGTTTGTGGAATTTGACATTATATTTTGTATCTTTTTGGATGTGTGAGATACTTTATGATGAAATTGAAATGACCACCATGATAGTGGCAACCACCCAGAGTGTCACTGGTATGTGTGTCCCATGCTTGTCGTCCGGGTCCGTGGAGCCTACCTGCCCATCACTGAGGCACCCTTAGCCTCCACCTCAGATTAGACTGTCATCTCCAAGTATTTGTGTATGAAGTTACATACATACATTTATATGCACAGATACAAATTCATTTTATCTCGTAATGTGTTACCACAAAATGCAGTATAGGACTTTTTAAAAAAATCAAGTATTTCCAAATAAAACTTTTTCAAAAAATATTTTTTTCCTGGTATTAAAAGAGGCACATACATGTATTGGAGGCAAGGAAACATACTAAAGTAGAAAGAAGAAAAAAAAAATATATATATACACACACACACATATATATATGAAATAATATAAATGTTAACAGTATCTAGGGTGGCACTATTATGGGTCTCTAGCACCACCCTAGAAACTGCTAACATTTGATGATAGCTGTGATCTAAATATATTCCCTAAAATCCATGTTTTGAAACATAATCACCAATGTGATAATATCAAGAGGGGCTTTGGGGGGTGATTAAGTCATGAGGGCAGAGCTCTCATGAATGGGATTGGTGATTTTATAAGAGGTGGAAGAGAGTGCCCTGGGCCTTTTTGCCCTTGTGTCCCTTTCACCATGTGAAGACACAGCATTCATAGTGTCCGTCCCCTCTAGAGGGCACAGCAACAGGGCATCACCTTGGAAGCCTTCACCTGACACTGAGCCTGCCAGCTCCTTGGTCCTGGACTTCGCAGCCTCCAGAACTGAGACATAAAGTTCTGCTCTTGTCAATGACCCTGTCTGAGGTATTTTGCTCTAGCAACACAGACGGACTCAGACAGTGATATTTTCTTCCATTGTTTTTCCATTCTTATGTATGGGTTATTTTTATATCGATGAGATCATTTCTGAGTATAACATTTTACATCTTTCTTCATTTCATAGTATAACCATTTTAAATACTATTAAAATTATTCATAAACTTTTTTTTTTTTTTTTTTTGGAAGACAAAAAAAAAAAGAGACAGGGTCTCACTCCAACTCCCAGCCTGTAGTGCAGAGCCTCAATTTCTGGGGCTCAGGCGGTCCTCCTGCCTCAGCCTCCTGAGTAACGGGGACCACAGGTGTGCACCACCATGCCCAGCTAATTTTTTGTATTTTTTTGTAGAGGTCAGGTTTCTCCGTGTTGCCCAGTCTGGTCTCGAACTCCTGGGCTCAAGTGATCTGCCTGCCTCGACCTTCCAAAGTGCTGTGATTACAGGTGTGAGCCACCATGCCTGGCCCCTTTATAAACATGTTAGTGGCTTACAATGAGCCACTGTATAAGGATATTAATCATTCCCTGCTGTTAGATAATTTTTACTATATGAGAAATAACCACTACAGTAAACATCTTTGAGCATAGTTCCTGTCATCATACTTGCATTTATTTCCTTAAATGTATGCCACATATATCAAAGGTTCTGAATATTTTGAAGACATTTAATATATTTTTTTCAAGTTGCTTTCTATAAGGCAGGGCCTCTATTAACCCGTAATCTGTCTTTGTTCAGGTGACAAACCTCTAGCCTGACACACCCCTGGAAGTCCAGGCCTCGTGATGGATTCTGGGCTGCGTTGCATCTGCTGACACTTCATGGGCCCCTCGGTGCCATTCACAACTGCACTCTGTGTGGGAGACCCTATTTCCATCCCTCCAGGAGCTCACACAGAGTACCTGTTTTGTAGAACCCCGTACAGCATTAGCTATTCACGTCTGTAAAAACTTGAACTCCTTAAGTGAAAGTGCCATACGGGTGTCTTACTCTTTTTGATTACGGAGGACGAACATTCGTTTATGTTTCTTAGCCATTTGTGTTTTCTCTTGTGAACTATCTATTCATATGCATTGTTATGCTCTTGGTGTTTGTCATTTATTTTGTACATTAATTTGATAACATACGTAGAATCTGTACTGTTTGTTGTTAACATTCTTCTTAGTTTGTGCTCATACTATTTTTCTGGTAAACACAAGGTTTTATTTTTATTGAGCACAGCCAAACCTCTTCCCTGATGATTTTCTCCCAGGATTTTCAGTTCTCAGAGTTCTTTCTCATTCAGACACTTGAAAAATGTTCTTATTTTCTTCTTGTGTATTATTTCATTTTTACATTTATCTCTTTATATTAAACTGGAGTGTATTTTGATGAGTAATACCCGGTGAGAATCTTTTTTTCTTTTTACAAATAGTTTTTGAGGCACCATTTATTACATAATCTGCCCTTTCCCTACTGATTTGTGATATGTTCTCTATCTTACATTAAATTCTATTATCTGGATCCTTTTGTAGTTTGTGAGCATGATCACGATTGGGTGTTTCACGTGCGTGTGTGAGATGTGCCGCCCTTGAACCTTGTGTGACATCGGCACATTGCCCAGCTGACCTCAAAAAACAAAAAAAAGAAATGATCTTATCATCACTGCTAAACATACTTTACTGAGTTTAAAAGCAATAAAGATTCCTTTCTTAATATAAGTAAAGCACTGCTCATTCATTATATATATTTTCGTTTTCACTGTCAATGTTTGTTTAACTTGACTTCTTTTTAATGTATTAACTTTAATGCTAACATTTCTCTTTTACGCTTTGAATCAAAGTAAATTTGGTACTTGACAGATTTTTTTGTTTCATAGAGACCACTCCCATTTGCAAATAAATTGTAGGTATTGTACCTAAAAGGCACTTGTATTCACTTTTAAAGAAGTTAACTTTTTCTGTTTATGTTTTTTAGGGTGTATTATCTCATATACTTTCAGCACTCAGATTTGATAAAGAAGTTGCTCTTTTCACTCAGGGTCTTGGATATGCCCCTATAGATTACTATCCCAGTCTGCTTAAAAATGTGAGTATTTAAAATTTATCACTTCTGGAATGTTTAATGCTGAATGTGCCATCAGCGAAAAGAGTAAATGGAAATATTTCAGTCTTCCAGAAGAGATGTTTAACTTTTCTTGGTTTATCTCTTCTTACCTTGGGCAGTTGTATGGCCATGTAAGGAAGAAACGTGAGATGGGAAGTTATGAGAAAGAAGGAAACCAGGAAGGGTTTTACCAAACCAACCAATCAGCCTCTCTTTCTGGGAACACATCTTGCGTATTCACTCAGAGATGTTTGGGAGAGGAGCTTTTCTTAGCTATTATAAACACAGTCTTGTGCTGTTGGACGAATCTTGTATTTCAAATAACCTGATTGGACTTTTTTGTTAAAGCAAAACAGAAAATTCAATACATAGTTTTACATATTTACCTCTTAATATTAAAGCTTTGTTTTCTTCTGGCTTACATTGTAGCCAAATGTAAGAAATTTTAACTTACAATCTTGATGTAACTCTTTTAAAAAATGTATGAGATTTTTAATGTTTGCCAACCATTCTGGTGTTTTGGAAGCTTTATACAAGAAAAACTTTTTTTTTTTTTTCAAATGAAAATTTTAAATGAAGAAACAAACTAATTTTTCTTTAAATAGATTTTGTTTTAGTTCTTAGGAAATTAGTGACCTGTCTGTTGTTCATTACTTACATCGAAATGCAGAATTACAGACATTAAACATAAAATCCCAGTTATTAGTAAATGTGACATGGCACTGCTTCCTTTTCACTCTGACAGAGTAAAACATGAGAAGATGGGGGTTGGGGGAATCTCAACGGAAATATCACTCACACCAAGAAAAATAGAACTGATGTAATCCTGTTTGCAGCGTGAGTTAACCTGCAACTGATTTTGTTTTACAGATGGTTTTATCATTAGCGTCTGAACTCAGAGAGAATCATCTTAATGGATTTAACACTCAAAGGCGGTAGGTGTTAAACTAAACATCCTTCTTCTCAAGTTTCAAAATGTATCAGTTTGGTTATGAGAGGAAAATTTTATAATTCATAGGAAATGGATGTTCAGTTATGGTTGTATGTTATATAGAAAGATTATTTTAGTGGAATACATAGCAAATTGGTGAGTTTTTTCAAACTCTTTTAAAAATCACATTTTTCTCAACTCTCACAGAGCAGTGAGTAAATCCTACAATGTCTTTTGTGGGCCCATTAAGTAAAAAGCCCTATATTTACAGTAGGGAGCACAAAAGAAAGAGCAGTACTTAATTTTACCCTGGGATTGCTCACTCTGCGAGAGGAGAATGTGCACAGATGCAAGTGTGTGCTGTTACACTAGCCTGCCCTGGCTCTGCCTTCTCAGCACACGCGCACGTGCATGCGCGCACACACACACACACAGAGTCAGGATATTTACAAGGCAACATTTGAGGTGAACATATGCCCTATTTTAAGAAACATGATATTCCAAAATCTAGACTAAACAAATCAAAGAGATTCAGACAAATTAAAAGGCAATTAATCACATTACAAATGTTTCTTCAGTCTGTGAAAGAATTTCAGTTTTCATTGGTGGGCATTTCATTTTTGACGTATCATTAACCGAGAGAATCTGGGACTGAGGGACTTTGTGATTTCTTTTTTTTTTTTGTAAAGCTATTGCTAATTCAAGTCCTATCAAAAATTGTCTTTGTCCTCAACCTTTAGGAATCTTTTGCACCTAACCCTTAAATATATAATTATTATAGGAAAACATTGGAGAAAATCTTCATTATGTTGGATTTGGCAATGTAAAAAGAACTATAGGAGACATGGAGAGTGTTTAGATTTATTTATTTACATGTCAGGTACACTTGGATTTAGTTGTGAGGTGAATGTTGACTGATGGATCTTTTGAATTATGTAATTATAAATTTATTTAAAAGGACTTTAAAAATCAGTCAGTGCAATGTGTATGTACTCCCTATACCAAACTCCCAAAATATGCAACACAGTTGATTTTTTAAAAAGCAGCTCACAATAAAAATAATTTTTAAAATCTGTTAACAAATAGAAACAAAGGATCAGAATGCAAAATGTAGAAATGACTTGGAAAAAGCAATCATAAAGAGGCAGACACTCCAGTATAGAAATGAGCAAGGAATATAAGCAGGTCATTACCAAAAGATGAAAACTGAATTACTAATATTAAAGGAGTTCTTCAGGAATGACGTCAGCAAGATGGCAGAATAGGAAGTCCTAGACCTTATTTCCCAATAGAGACATTGACTTAACTACAACATACATCCCAAAAAATTTCAATGAGAACTACAGAACCAATTAAGAAGTCACAGTACTGCAGGCAAGCTCAAAGTGTAGAATAGCCACATTGAAATTGATTTAAAAATCTGTTTCATATCAACTGTGATAGCCCTTTTCCAAGTCTGGCACAGCTTGGTAAGATTGGTAGGAAAAACCCAGCTTGTGGCTTCTCTCCCTTGGGCGGGAAAAAGAAGAGTGGAATGTGCATCCAACATTCTGACTTTTTAGGGAGCAGACTGAGGAACAGATTTCTGTCTTTACTGACTGGGAGCACTGACGAGGAAATTGCATACAGTAATCCCTCTTTATCTATAGGGGATATGTTTCAAGACACCCAGTGGATGTCTGAAACTGTGGATAGTACCAAACCGTATTGCCATCAATCATAACACATTTCTGTGTTCCACTCACAACTTTAATGTCTTTTCCATCTTAACTAAACACTCACCATATATGATGGCTGTAATTTTTGCCATGTGAGATGCAATGACAAAACTAACACAAATTTTTTTCCTTCTTTACTATTTCACAGATAGATGATGTGTTTTTACTATAGATCTCAGCAACCTCAGCATATGTCTTTCCTTATTAAGTTGAAAACTTTCACCTTTTCACTTAAAAAAAGCACTTTACAACTTCTCCGTGGCATATGCAAATTGCCAGCCCCAGTGCTCTTGGACTTTGAGGTCATTATTAAGTATTAATAAAATGAAGGTTACTTGAAGATGAGCACAGTGATGCTGTGACAGTTGATCTGACCACCAGTAAGGCTACTAAGTGACCAATGAGCAGGCAGTGTATGTATCATGGATACCCTGGGTAAAGGGATGATTCATGTTCTGGGTGGGACAGGGGGACGCCATGAGATTTCATCGTGCTACTCAGAACAGCACACAATTTAGGCCAGGTGCTGTGGCGCATGCCTTTAATCCCAGCACTTTGGGAGGCCGAAGCAGGTGGATTACCTGATTTCAGGAGTTCAAGACTAGCCTGGCCAACATGACAAAACGCCGTCTCTACTAAAAATACAAATTAGCCGAACGTGGTGGCTTATGCTTGTAATCCGAGCTACTCGGGAGGCTGAGGCAGGAGAATCACATGAACCTGGGAGGTGGAGGTTGCAGTGAGCTGAGATGGCGCCACTGCACTCCAGCCTGGGCAACAGAATGAGGTGCCATCTTAAAACAAAACAGTGCACAATTTAAAACCTTTGAATTATTTCTGGATTTTTTTCATGTAATATTTTTGGACCACGGGTGACCATGGCTAGCTCAAACTACAAAAAGTAAAACTGCCGATAAAGGAAGACTACTTTTGATGTCTTGGGGCCATGGAGAACAAAAGAAAGCTTAGTGGTTTGTGGTAGCACCAGAGAGTTGAGGTGCTGTGGATGGAGGCTGGCATAGCTCAACAGAGTTGGGAGAAAACGCCTAGCTCATGACTTGTTCTTTGGGAGGGGAGGAGAAGAATGGAATATATACATCCAGTGTCTGGCTTTTCAGGGGCCTGCTGGAGGGACTGGCGTCTGTCTGTTCTGACTCACAGCACTGACAGAGAAATGGCATCCTTTGGAACCAGAGCGCGGCAGCTTGTTGCAGCACCGGAGAATCTGCAATACCACAGACGGACACTAGGGGGAGGGAGAGATTAGGAGCTCTCGAAAATCCAGTAAAGCCCTCTAATTTGGAAATCACATGCGTGAGCCCAGAGAAGATACATCCCTGGAAAAGGTTTGACGGACCTCCAGAATCTCCAGCCGGGTCCATTGGTGAAAGTCTGCCCTTGTACCATGTCAGTCGATAAAGACTGAGAGAAGTGGATGTTTCTTTAAATGTACAAAATACAACAAAAATAACAAGACACAAAGTAAACCAGGGAAATGTGGCATAATCAAAGGATCAAAATAAACCTACAGAAACAGACCCTAAAGAAACAGAGATCTATGCATTACCTGACAAAGAATTTGAAATAATTGTCTTAAGGGATCTCAGGGCACTACAAGAGAACACAGATGAACAACTAAATTAAATCAGGAAAACAATACATGAACAAAATGAGACTATCAACAAAGAGATAGAAACTAAAAAAGAACCGAACAGATATTCTGGAGCTAAAGATACTCAATAAGTGAATTGAAAAACTTACTAGAAAGGTTCAGCAGTAGACTTGATCAAACAGAAGAAAGAGAAAACTTAAACACAAATCATGTGAAATTATTAAGTCAGAGAAACAGTAAAAAGAATGAAGGAAAGTCAAGAAAGCCTAAGACACTTGTGGAACAACATCAAATGGAACAATATACACATTATGGGAGTCCTAGAATAAGAGAGAAAGGGGCAGAGAACTTACTTGAAGAAATAATGGTGAAAACTTCCCAAATATTAGGAAGGAATTGGATATCCTAATTTAAGAAGCTCAAAGGACTCCAAAGAATGAACCCAAAGAGGCCCACACCAACATACACAAAAATCGAAATGTCGGAAGTTAAAGACATAATCTTGAAAACAGCAAGAAAAAAGTGACTTATCATGTACAAGAAAGGTTCCATAATATTATCGGTGCATTTCTCAGAAGAAATATTACAGATGAGAAGGGAGTGGGATGATACATTCAAAGAGCCAAGGAAGAAACAAAACAAAACAGAAAACCCTTCCAACCAAGAATACTGCATCTGGGCTTCATCATCCTTCAAAAATGAAAAAGTAAAGACATTCCCAGATAAACAAAAGCTGAAGGAGTTCATCACTAGACCTGCCTTATAAGAATTGCTAAAAGGAGTCCTTCAAGTTGAAATGAAAGAATAGTAGCAATGTGGAAGCATACAAAAATATAAAGGCTTCTGATAAATGTAAACATACAGACAAACACAAAATCTTATAATACTGTGTTGTATAGTACAGTTGTCCCTTGGTATCCACAGAGGATTGGTTCCAGGACTTCCCACATATCAAAATCTATAGATGCTCCAGTCCCACAGTAAACTGTATGGAACTTACAGATATAAACAGTCAATCTTTAGGTTCTACATCCTGCAAATACTATATTTTTGATCTATGATTTAGTTGAATCCATGGATACAGAACCCATAGATATAGAGGGCTGAGTGTACATAACTCACTTTTTAATTCTGATATAGAACTTAAAAGATAAAAGCATAAAAAATGTTAAACAGTGTTGATAAATACAAAATAGAAAAGGATGTAATTTGTGATATTGATAACATAAACTGGGGAGGGAAATGTAAATGAGTAGTGTTTTAGTATGTGATTGAAGTTGTCTTGTTAGGTTGTTATAACTCTAAGATGTTTAATGTAATGCCCATGGTAACAACAAGAAAATACCTGTAGGAGATGCACAATGGAAAATGAGAAGGAAATCAAAGCATGTCACTATGAAAAAATCAATGAAACCCAAAGGAAGGGAATAAGAGAAAATCGTGAACAGAATAACTACAAGGTATATGGAAAACAACAAAATGGCAATAGTAAGTCCCTCTCTATCAGTAATTACTTTAGGTGAACGTGAATTAAACACCCCATTCAAAAGATGTGGAGTAGCAAAATAGATCAGAAAACAAGATCCAACTATATTCTAGCTTCAAGAGACTCACTTGATACATTGGCTGAAAATGAAAAGATGGAAAAATAGATAATCATGCAAATGGTAGCCA